AACTCCCAAAGAATTTACTTCGTACCTAGTATTAAAACCGAAAACAAACATCCTCTTGGAATTTTTGATACGGGCATTCATTCAATGCATGGCCTCTGCTTCTCGGGTTTGCAATTTAGACCGACACTGCTCTGCATGCGTGCTTTCCACACATGTCGTTTTTTCCCGCAAGCATCCCCTGTTGCAGGATCGTTCTCAAGCAGCTGCTATCTTCACACGGGAGCTTGCCGTCTTGTTGAGACAAGTTGCCGTGAGCCAACGCAAAAATTCGGTGACAGTAAAACACTTCACCCTGGTTTTGTTGAAACCAGCTGGGATGGCCTCCCCCGCACCCCTGAGATGGAGACTGGGCTTTCGCCCGCGGCCTTTCAAATCTTCCGCCCTCACTGCCTGCCACCCACGGGCACATGCCTCACGTAGCAGTAGAGTCATTCCTGGCTCTTCGGCCTTGAAAGTGTCAGTCACGAAGATTGCAACTTGTATCTCCTGACCCGGGTGAAACGTCAACTTCACACCTCCTGCTCCAAGCAAAGCAGAAGCTGACATCAAGACGGATCCACTCAGAGCAGCCATGAAACGCACTTTTCTTTGCACCCTAACGAAGTTTGAGACCACGAAGAGCTTGGCTTGCCGCAGGTCCTGGACATGGGTAGTAAGATGCAGATGCTTGGCAGGAACAAAACAAAAACAAACGTGCAAATCAATGGCAGGCAATTCACCAACAATAGGATTCCCCCAGGCTCCTGAGTTCTCGTCGCAACCCCATGTGCCGTCAAAGATTGAGACACTGCTTGCGCCTTGCCGCCTTCCATCTTGGAGCAACACCACGCTGGGCCACTGAGACCTTGGCAGGCCCACTGATGCCTTTTCTTCGTGGAAGTCAATTTACCGGACACTTCGTATGCCTGTCTTTTTTTTTCCTGAGACCATCTCCTTGTCGGTTTGCTTTGGTCAGTCGCAAGGCCTCTTCCTGAACCTCTTGGGTGACCTCATCCGGCAACAAACAGCCATCTGCCAGAGCCTCAGCCTTTCGTTACAAACCCTGTTTTCTCTGGAAATTTCTTTCCTTCTGGGAAGATTCTGTCAACAGCTCGGAAGGTTTCCGAGGAGGTGTTTCGCATTTTTGCACTGCTTCCAGCAATGCTTTCTTTCTTGTGCGGTTCCAGTTGGCAAAAGATCCGGTCTTCACTTTGCCTGTGACACCACAATCGAACCTTGGTTTTGTCCGCGGCCGGGACCTTCCACTGGACAGTAGGGAAGCGTAGATTCGTCGAGCGGCTTGAATCACTTCAGGTTGCACTGCTGGGCTCCTGGCCTGCCCATCGCCCATGACAATTGCAAGGCGACGGTCTGTGTCCACAGAAGCGTTGGAAAGTTCCACAGGACTTCTCTTGAGCTTCGAGAATTGTTGCTCCACTCCACTTGTGGCTGCGGTCCAACATTGACAAGCTGCCATGACTTGTATCAGGGCCGTGGCCTCATACTTCCTTCCCTGGGCACCTTTCCGACTGCTTGTGCGTTGAAGGGCTTCCCTCCATGCTTCTCTGTTACTCAAACCTGCTTGCTTCTTCAAAGCTGCAGCAATGGGCAGCAAGCGGGCATACTCTTGCTTCAGTGCCTCAAAAGGTACCGAATACACTTGAGCCAGCCTCTCCAAGTTCCGTAAAACATCCGCACTGCAGTCACGGCCTCTTACGCAGTCAGACAAATGAAAAACTTGAAATGCCGCCGCCAAGTGCCAACTCGGAAACTCATGCGCGACGACTTCCTCCACGAGAGACACCCATTCCTGCAGCCGGCTGCAACGACGACAAGATATGATACAGTCAAATTTAATGGCAAACTGACACAGCCCCCCCATGGAAAAGCTAGGCTAAGCACCGGGGTCCTCCATGACTGCAAAAGCCCTGTCCAAGTCTCGGTTCGAAACTTGGATGTCCAACGCAAACCCATCCTGAAGAATGGTCACGGGAATTCTTCTATCTAAGAATTCTTTCGTGAAAGTGGGTAGTGTCAACACCTTCCGGTCAACGAAGAGAGACCTTGCCGAGAGGACAAAATGGCTGGCTCGTAAATTCAAATCAGCAACATCAATGTCTTCACGGTCGCATTCCCTTGTGTAGTCGTTGCTGATAGCTGCAGCGTCGGTAATCATTGCAAGCAAAGCTGCTTTGAACGAACTGAAATTTTGGCAAAGCTTGGTTGCCCAAGTTGCCTCAGCACCTCGCATGGCTTGGACCCTGCCGCACACATTGAAAGCTGCTTGCAAATTCCGAATTATCCGGCTGAGAGGATTCAAGTATGACGAGAACCTGTGCTTCGCCGCAGACATGGAGGTGCAAAGGTTTCCAGTCAAGTCGGAGTCCTCTTTGCATTGGACGGCCTTGGCCCACCATTGGCTGAGGATGTGGCTGTGGTGCACCTTCTGAGCGAAGCTTTCGGACCCATGGATCCATTCGTTTGTCAAACTTTTGACAGGTTCCAATGCAAGGAATGGTCTCTTCAAGGGACGGGTCGATGCATGCGCCGCATCTCTGCCGACGATCTTGCAATTTGTAAATTTGGATTGAAAGTCGGTCGCGGCCCTACGGCGCCCTCTCTCTAAGTCACCTGCTAAAAGTTCGGATGCAGCAGCGTCACTGGCCACCATGGTGACCCTGTCCTGAATCTTCCGTAGAAGTTCAGAGTCGACCGGCTGCTCGCTTTCCTTGGCTTGTCTGGGAGGCTGCCGCATCGGTTGGCAGAAGTTCTGCATGATTTCAGCAGTTGCTTCAGCTATGGACTCAGCAGAACCTGTCACAGGCTGCAAGCCAAGCGCGCCACTGATGGTGGTTAGGTCCGGTAGAACAGCGCGGAAGCGCACAAGAAGATTTCCTTTGCGTTCGTCTCTCATCAATGAGATGCAGCGAGACTCTGCCAGCAAAGTCCTGTTGCGAGCACAAACTGCTTCCGAGAGGGCATACCGCACTTGAGTTTTTTTATCGGACGATCCGCCACCTTGTCTCGCAGATTGTCCTTGCGTCATACCCTGCAAACTTGACTTAAAAGCCTCGTCGCTAGGGGCTCCGCAAAGATCATCTTGGCTTGCTGTCATGTGTCCCTTGGACTTCTCATGCCTCTCCAAGTTGTGTTTCTTCAACACGGAAGTCGGAGTTTGTTCAAAGTTGGCCCATGGGCCCTCCAGACCGGCTTTCGCGCATAAGCTGCAGCCGAGCTTGGATTCTCCATCGACCAGAAGCACTCTCAGCCATGGTTTTTTGTAAAGTGACCATGACTGCTGCACGGCGCACAAGCTGCACTTGTGCACTCCTCGCTTGCAAGTCTGAGTGTGTTCAGTGACCAACTTACCTGGAACCAAGTGCTTCAACTTGTCGCGAGAATCTCCCATGGCGCGAAGAAGGAAACCCCTGGAGAGCGAAGAACTTATTGTATTCATTGTATTGATAGAATCTGATGATAGTCATAGTACTTTAAGGCTTACTTAAGATGCATTCAATGTGATTGACAGTATTGGAGCTTTGAATTGAAAGATGCGGAAATCTTCAAATTTTTGATCATACCTTAGATGTTTTAAGGTGCGTGTTTCAAAACCCTGCAGCCGCTGACGGCAACACACAGAAAGAGTCACAATTCAATGCAATGCTTTCGCCCCTCGAAATGAAGAAATCAAGCAACTACGACAGTAGTGGCTGGCAGTAGTGGCTGGCGGCGCGACATCGACTCTTCTTATTTTCTGAATAATAATAAGTCAAGCAGCACCCGCGGAAGCAGCAATTGCTCAGATGATGTGAGCTGACTTGACACACACATGTCCGTAGACAGTGACATTTAAAATTGTCCGCAGACACTCCCCACGGCATGTGTCCGTAGAGTCCGTAGACTAAGATATTTTCCTGTCCGTAGACCAGAACCAATGATGTGTCCGTAGACCAAGTCAGTCCGTAGACTATGATTTTCCTGTCCTTAGACCAGAACCAATGATGTGTCCGTAGACCCGCAAGTCAGTCCGTAGACTATGACTTTCCTCTCCATAAGATGAAGTGCAGATCTGTTACTTTGTTCGTGGACAATCATAAAGATTCATTCAATGCGGTCCGTGGACTCGAGGATCAAAAAATGATCAGACCTAGTCCGCAGACAACTCCGTATTTAAGATGTCCTTCAATATTATTCCTCGCGGGTGAAAGACAAAACAGCATTTCCATGGCAAGGTAAACAGACTGCAGATGCGATGGCAAAACGATTTTGAGCAAAAAATAACTCTGCTAGGGCGCTCGGCTGTGGAAGTTGACCAAGGGCTTACAATAACAATTTTACAAGTGGATTTATCACGACTAAGCTCACATATAATTTACACACCATTAACAAAAAAAAAATATATAATCATGGAACTTGAAACTTATTATATACAACACCTGTATGGGGTATCCAACCTTACTATGTTTTCCCTTTGTAGGCATTCTATGGATATCAACTGGAACGCTGGGCAACACTGTTCCCCTGATCACTTACATTGAAATAATGACGAGGTGGATGCTTTGAGACAACCATAGGAACAAGAGGACCCATGCCAACCAGATCTGTTCACGCATGGAGTGAACGACTCAGTGGTCAGGTGGAATGTTTTATTATAGATAACCAAAACCAAAATAAAACTGGTCACACTGTCAAAGAGCTTAATACCTTGGCATTAGTGGTGGTGGAATAGTTTCAGTGACAGACTGGATGCATACTTGAACACATCACACACACTTCACTTAGCAACAAAAAAGACACCAAGAGCAACCAAGCTACTGCTAAACAACGCTAAGGCGACCAGGCCGTCCAAGCGCGCCACGCAGTGCCATAAGTGAAGGTGGATGTCACCAAGTGCCACGCCTGCCACGCAAGATGAAGGTGGATGTCAGCAAGTGTCAACGCCTGCCACGCAAAGTGCCGCGGCGTCACCGGCGACCAAGCCCGCCCAAGCGCGCCACCAGAGCCAGCCCAGTGCCATAAGTGCCACGCCTGCCACGCAAAACCAAGGTAGATGCCTCCAACTGCCACGCCTGCCACGCGAAACGAAGGTGGAGGTCGCCAAGTGCCACGCCTGCCACGCAAAGTGCTGCGGCGTCACCGGCGACCAAGCCCGCCCAAGCGCGCCACCAGAGCCAGCCCAGTGCCATAAGTGCCACGCCTGCCACGCAAAACCAATGTAGATGCCTCCAAGTGCCACGCCTGCCACGTGAAACGAAGGTGGAGGTCGCCAAGTGCCACGCCTGCCACGCAAAGTGCCGCGGCGTCACCGGCGACCAAGCCCGCCCAAGCGCGCCACCAGAGCCAGCCCAGTGCCATAAGTGCCACGCCTGCCACGCAAAACCATGCAACTGCCACGCGTGCCACGTGAAACGAAGGTGGAGGTCGCCAAGTGCCACGCTTGCCACGCAAAGTGCCGCAGCGTCACCGGCGACCAAGCCCGCCCAAGCGCCCCACCAGAGCCAGCCCAGTGCCATATTTATGTGCCACCAAGTTCCACGCCTGCCACGCAAAACGACGGTGAATGTTGCGTTGTGCCACACCTGCCAAGCAGAGTGCCGCGGCTGCCACGCAAGATGAAGGTGGATGTCACCAAGTGCCACGCCTGCCACGCAAGATGAAGGTGGATGTCAGCAAGTGCCACGCCTGCCTTGCAAAGTGCCGCGGCGTCACCGGCGACCAAGCCCGCCCAAGCACGCCACCAGAGCCAGCCCAGTGCCATAAGTGCCACGCCTGCCACGCAAAACCAAGGCAGATGCCTCCCCAGAGCCTCCAAAAGTCTTTAATAAAGGCAGCTACCTTAATTAAGGGTCTCTGGATCTTTTGCTCTTTCATTGTTTTTTTTTGATGAGACATTGATGAAATCATGTTTGCTGTATCTTGATCTCCTTTGGGGAGATCATTGGCTCAAACCAAGTTTTTCTGTGCCATGCAACGCAGGTGCTTCTGGCTTGTTTTGTTTTGTAGTTCTGCAGGCTTGCTTAATTAAGCAATCTTCATTTAGCACCTCTTCGCGTTTTAGAGTGCTTAATTCAGCAGTCTGAAGTTTCTCTAGGTTGCTTAATTAAGCAATCTATCGAGTGCTTAATTAAGCAATCTAGATTTTGCTCAATTTTACACAATTTGAAGGCAGCGGCTCGAACCAATTATATGCCATGGGTGGCAACCAGGTGCTTCTGGCTTGTTTTTTTTTCGTTCATGCAGCCAGCAGCAGTTCTGCAAATTAAGAATGTGATTTTGTGGCATTATACTTTTTTTATAAAGAGGTTTGCCTAGGCAGGGTTTGTATAATTAATAATGTCAAAGGGGAAAAAATGAGGAATGTAGTAAAGTAAACCTAGAAGATGGCACTTATTTGGGGACTAGTGGGGGGCAAAATGTTGTTTGGTAGAGATGGCCTGGCGACCCTTAATATAAGGTGGGTACCAGTTTTTTTTGGGCAAAAGGAACCATTGTAGAGACCACTTCTCTGATGAGTATGTCTGGTCACAAGCAGCCATTATAGACATCACTCCTTCGAGGAGTGCTCATGAGTAGATAGTAGAAGTGAGTAGGGAGTAGCCAGTAGATAGCAGTTAGTGGCCAGTTAGAAGTCAAAAGTGGGTAAGTGAGCAACGAGTAGTGAGTAGCCAGTAGTGAGTAATGGTAAGTTAGTAGTGTAGTGGGTAGTGACTAGTGGGTAGTGAGTAGTGGGTAGAGTCAGTAGTTTATTGTCAGTAGCTAGTGGCGAATAGTGATCGTTTTATGGTTTCTAGTTGCTAGCCTGTATAGTGGTGAGGTAATACTCAGTAAGTAGCAGCTAGCAGCTAGCAGTTAGCAATTATAATGGCCAAAGTGCGGAAGCAATCCTATGCTACCTGCACTCCTCTGAGGAGTGCTGTTATTTAAAAAAAAACAATAAATTGGAAAACGCAATTATTTTGTCCAAGTATGTATTAAAATTTGAGCCCCACCAAGTCTTTTAAGAGCGGGGCCCAAAGCTGAAACTAAAAGCTAAAATCTGTTCTTTTCAAACCTTGTTAACAAAATAGTCAAGGCTGAACCCCACTAACAATTACAATTTTTACTGCTGCCCAAGGTTGAAAATTGAATCTGTTTTTCAAACCTTGCCAAAACATATAGCCAAGGTTGAGCCCCACTAACACTAACAAATATATTTTTTTACTGCGGCCCAAGGTTGAAGATAGAATATGTTCTTTTCAAATCTTGTTTCAAAGTATTCAAATTTGAACCCCATTTAAAATTATAATTTTTAGTGGGGCCCAAAAGCAAAGATAACATATGTTCTTTTCAAACCAGGTGAAAGTATTCAAATTTGAGCCCAATCATTTTTTTCAGGGTTGGGCTCAAAGTTGAAGATAATATGATCTTTATAAAATTTGTCGAAGTATTCAAAACTTTGAGCGCCACTAACAACTGTATTTTTTAGTTGGGCCCAAAGTTGAAGATAAAACATGTTCTCTTCAAATCTTGTTGAAAAGTATATATTCAAGTTTGAGCCCCACTATATAACAATTATAATTCTTAGTGGAGCCGAAGGTTGAATATAAAATATGTTCCTTTAACATTTTGTCAAAAATATTCTAGGTTGAACCCCACTAGAAATTAATATTTTTGGTGGGGCCCAAAGCTGAAGACAAAATATGTACCTTTCAAATCTTGTCACAAAGTATTCAAATTTGAACCCCAGAAAAAATCATAGTTTTCAGTGAGGCCCAAAGTTGAAGTAAACTGTGACAGTATTCAAACTTGAACCCCACCAAGTTTTTTTCAGGGTGGGGCCAAAGTTGAGGATAATATATACGTTTTTCAAATCTTGTCGAAATATTCAAATAAGAATTGTAATTTTCAGTTGGGCACGTAGCTGAAGGTTTTTGCAGGAGCCCCGTTTTCCCTTTGCTTATGTGATCAAAGGGGGTCATTGCAAGGCATTGCACTAAGAGGATTGCCATAGTACATTAGCTTGAAATTACCACCCAGCAAGATTGGGCCTTGGAACATATCGAGCCAAGGTCATAAACCATGAGATTATTATGTGGTAGAATTAGTAGGTGTTAAAAAAAAGTTAATTTTTCACATTCACATTTTTTAACACTTTTTTAAATGTAAAAAAACTAGGTTTATATATATATATAATATATAAATCAATTTAAAACCTTTTTTCTTTACAGTTAAAAAAAGTGTTAAGAAATGTTAAATTTTTAACTTTTTTCCCGAGAGCGTCTGAGCGCAGGGTTCTTCCAATAGTGGGGGTCTGTAAAACATCTTCTCATCTTCACATCTTCTCTCACATCTGCTCATCTTCACATCTTCTCTCACATCTTCTCTCACATCTGCTCATCTTCACATCTTCTCTCACATCTGCTCATCTTC